CCAGGAAGCCAAGGGATCTGAGATCTTCAGGGACTTTTTCACATGTGGTCACACATCTAATGGTACAGTCATGCTTAAAATCGGGAATTGCGATGGCCAATCTCAACATATTATACCAGCTCCATTCTTCTGAGGAAGGCTGGTGAGAGCCTCTAGAAGTGTTCGATTTTTTTCATACTGTCTGGCTGTGAACTGAATTAGTTCTGCCACTCAACACCATAGGAATATTGAACAAAAACAGATTTTTGGACTTTGGAAAGTCCAAGGTCATATCTCTACTAGTACAGGCAGGGAGGCCGAAATAAGAAGAGTTTTATAACTCACTCTGGTATGATCAAAGGTCATTGGGCCCACCCTAATCTGCTCAGTTACATGTGAGCCCTCAATCCACATTGTCTGCTCTTTTGGGTCTGAGCTCACAAGACATCCCTCCTTATATGAAGAAAGTCTGGTGGGCAAAGATTGACCATTTTTCTTTGATGGACCAAATGTCCCTTACACAGTGACACCAAGTCTAATCACCAGTATTTGGGCAGGGCTCTTGAACATTTTCTCAATCTCACTTTACAAAACTTTTCCCATGTGCATATTTGACACAAGGCATATGGTTTTCCAATTAACACTCAAGTCAAAGACCTATGTAGTATTTGTTACTGGCCAGAGATCAAAGTCGTTATCTATGTTAATTCATATAACCTTTCAAGTTCTTATCATCCTTAACATCAATACTATGTATTATTAGAATCATAGCAAAATGGCCAACCCAGGTCTCATTTGTACAAGGTATATAATTTACTACTTAGCTCCAATCCAGGCATGTATTAGTATATCCATTTTATACAGAGAACACTGATATGAATTAAAACTTAGAAAAAAAAAACTCCCCAGAGTCATTACTTCAACTGTTAAATTAGAACGAGCCTAAAGATCTCCAGAAAATGAACGGCTAAATAAGAAAACATCCAGTTAAAGGGGAGGAAACAAAGCTGGCAAACAAAGAAAAGAAATGGGGCTGGTGAACTGCCAGGTATCGAGAATGGGAGTGGAGAGACCTGAGAAAAAGCATTTTTCTTGTAACAAATGTAAGATCTGGGGTAGGGCAGGGGCAGAAGTGTGAGCTGATAAATTTGAACAAACTGTAGAAAAAACACAAATTTGTAGTGTCTGTCAGATTCTATGGTGTAAATACTTCTGCCATAACTGATTGCAGGCTCCCAACCTAAAGGACAGAACTGGAGAGAAGAAACGTCAACAACTGCTAGTGTTAACCAGAACCAACACATACGCCCTATATCCCAGGACATAGCCAAGGACAATAAGATAAAGACAAACCAGGACTATCTGAGGTAAACCTGTTCAACTGTATTAAGGTAGTAATAGTTCTCTAACCAATTCAAACATTTTAACAAAGACTAATGGATTCAATGTTAGTTATAATAAATAAATAAATAAATAAATGTGGTTCAGAAGATCACATAGCCAACATTTTATGAAGTTGTCCTTCATCTTTCCCACATTATTTCTCAGTGACAATTATTGCTGCAGGACAAGATATCACGTGTGTCACTCTTTTCCTTTACTCTCATCTTGATCTGTCAGTTAGTCTTCCATTCTCTTTCCTCCCAAGGCTAACCACTTATTCAGGCACCAGAAGTGTCCCAGGTATGTCAAAGCCTCAGGATTGTAGTATGCAAGCAGCACTGTTTGGTCTGTAACATGTAAGTCTACAGGGTTCAGCAAAAAGAGTGTGAATCTCTAAACAGGCATGCCATTAGATGGAATGGGTAGAGAAAATAGTAAGGAGAATACAAGCACAGAGGAGTCAACTAAACCAACCAACAAACTGGTTAGGATGCATGCCAGTGCCCAAACCAGGTGGTCTGGTTCCCAGTTAGGTAGTCACAGAATCATCAAGAGGGTGTTTGCTCTCTGGTACATCTACACAGTGGAATACTATGTGGCTGTTTGAAGAGATGTCACTGTCACTGTCACTGTCCTCCCATTGTTCATCAATTTGCTCAAGCAGGCCCAGTAACATTATGAGACTTGTTACTGTGTTTGGCATATCGAATACATCAAGGGTAGCTTGCCACGCTTTGCCGTGCAGGTGAGATACTCTCAGTAGCTTGTGGGCTCTCTGAGAAGGGTGGAGGGATCAAACTTGGGTCGGCTATGTTGGCTGCATGCAAGGCCCTATCTGCTGTGCTCTCAGGGTGGACATGAAGAGTATCATGCTAAGTGAAATTAGTCAGAAAGAGAAGGACCGACATAGAATGACTGCACTCATTTGTGTAATATAAAGTACCATAATATGAGACTAACACCTAAGGACAGTAGAGACAAGGGCCAGGAGGATCACACCATGGTTTGGAAGCCGGCCCCACATACTGGGGGAAATGGCCGTTGGAATGAAGAAGGAACCACTAAGTAAATGATGATCGTAGGGGGTAGCCCAGGATGGGAGATATGTGCTGAAAGTACACCAAGGACAAATGATGACCTCTTAGTATTTATACTGCAAGTCACAATGCCCAAAACTAAAGAGAAAGTAGAAAGGTACCTGCCACAGAGGCAGGGTGAGGTGTGGAATGGGGATGGTGAATGGGACACTGGGAACAATGGTGGTGGAAAATATGCACTGGTGGAGGGATGGGTGCTCGAGCAGAGTTTGACTAAAATGCAATCATGCAAGGTTGTAACTGTATCTCAAGATGATCCAATAAAACTTCGTTTTTTAAAAAAGATGTTTTCTGATATGATGCCTCCTGCAAAAATAAAAACTTTCCTTGATGAGGTGTTTCTTTTTACTAAGCAGGTTCCACTTCACCAATCAGAACAAACAGAAATATGGTGGTTTCCAGGAGCAGGGACATCCTGTCATCTTCCCCCATGCAGGACAATGGGAGCCATCTGTTTAGGAAATATTCCATGACCACAGTCCCCTCTTCATCACTCACAGCCTTGTTATTCAGCTTAAGAATTCTTCAAAGTCTGGCTTTCCCTATAGATCTCAATCTACCTGCTGCATCAAGGACAGTTCTGATGAGGCAGTAGGCAAGGAAAGGAAGAGGATCTTTTAAAACTATGGTGACCGCTCTGCTTTGAAAACAATACACTGAATGGAAAATTGAAACTTGCAGCTGAAAAGCAACATGGTCTGATAATCCAACATTAGTCTGAGATGAAACTGGTCAAGATGAAGAGGAGCTGATATGGCAACAATGAGGCACTATATGAAGGCAATGTTCACCCAGAAGCAAGAGGCTATAGTTACCCCAAGAAAGTCCATTTTCTAGTTCTGAACAAAGCATCTCTAAGTGAGGTTATAGGCCCAAGCTCTTTCATTTCAAGGTGTTCTTTACTTCTAAATGCTCATAAGGATCCACAACCATGATCTCCAGTAATAGGGAAAATAAAGCCACTCCACTGGGCCAGAGAAGGAAAATTTGCTCCTGAAACAGAGATAAAAAGAAATAAAATCTGCCAGGAGGAATCGGTTATATTTTGCCCAAGACTGTTTCATCTCACAACTACAACCTTAGAGAAGAGATTAAGATCCATTTTCTCCTTCCATGTGTAGAAACAGTCACCAGATTCTCTCTTGTTGGTGTCACAGACTTTAGAGCATTTGCAAATATAATTAAAAGGATACATGATCTTAACTGGAGAAAACAAAATCATCACTTCATGTAAAACATTAGATGATCATAGCTTAGTATTTCCATTATAAAGGCAGGGCAGTCACGGTCACGGTCCTCCCAGGCCCACCATGCATCTTAAATGTAAGAGCAGTGACCAGCAATTTTGTTACCATTATGAATAATATTTGCTTATGACCCAGTACAGTGCTAAGTTATTTCACAGCATTTATGCTGATCCCTACATCAAAATGATAGGAATCCCAGCAATATATCATATATACATATTATACAATGTCACCATGGTTCACATGTATAATTATATCAACAAAATGTGTTAAATCCCTACATAGTTTCTTTTATGGATATAAACATTTATTCTGAGGTCCACAGGCATTGTCAGACTGCCAAAGGACACCATGACAAAACTAAGATTAAAAGCCCTTGGTGAGTTTATTGAGTATCCAAATAAATAAGGAACAGGGGAATGTGAGCGGGCTATGGCAGATAGCTGTCTTTGAGCTCAGCACATTAGGAATGATTTAGTCACATTATTTTCATTTATAAAGCTCCTCATAGGTCCTTCTCTTTCTGCTATCCTATAATAACTCTCTTATTTTCTTTCATTTGTATGCCTTGTTTTGCTATGGATCAAACCCAGGAAGAACCTGCACAGATTTCCCATACATGTAAAGCATTTACAACGGTGCTCCATCGGCTCCCCACTGCTATTTTTTCTTACCCTTTATGTTCAGCTTATTACTATATATCTTTTTAATTTTCCTGTGCTAATCATTGGATTTTCTTCCAGTGGGTGATCTGTTTTTCCCTGATGGTGGAGTCTCTCTCAATTCTTCTTTCTTACTCCACCTCCCCTTGACCTTCTTGACTTGGCTAACTAATAGCCATGAAGAATCTACCCCATATTCTTCAGCAAGGAAGAATATCATTTTTGTTCTGGGAACCAGTTTTAAGAAGCTCTTGGTCAATAGTCTGACTACCAGAACAAATACCTAGGAAAGCACTCAACGATAGAGGCTCCATAATATTGCAAATTCAGATTGAAGTATACTTTGCAGAAAGAAGAGGAAGCACTGTCATTAGATAGTTATTAATGGCCATCCTTCTAGGGACTGGACCAGGATTCTTCTCTGCTTAAATTCCCAGTGCCGCCAGAGGAAAGTATACTGCTTAGTCACTGCTCACTGGACGAGCCCCCTGCAAGCAGCTTCTGCAAGTCTCACTTTTCTAAATCAGAACTGAGGTTTGAGACCAAGAGGCAAAGCCAATGAGACTTTGTGACCTTTGTGCTTTAGCTTTGGACAAATAGACAAGTGCACAGTACCTTCTCCCTGCCCTCACCAGGAGAAATATTTGTCCTGAAATAGCCGTCTCTCCCAGCAAGACACTGAATACTTAGATGCAGATAGAAAATTCTATCAATGACCTAAAAGAGAAAGGAAGAAAGAAGGAGAGGATATGAAGAAAGAAAAGAAGGAGGAGGGGAAAAAATCAAGAAACTGATCTGCATTTAAAAACACAATTTTGTCAAGAAATCACTTCATGTTTAAGAATATCTCCCACTATTTAGTTTTCATATATTTTTAATTTTCAATAAAAATCTCCTTTCTGTTTAAAAAAATAAAACTATCTGAAAGTGTGGTGATCTTGTAGGAAACAAGAGAGATCTTAATGTCTAGATGGTAAAATAAAACAAGGCATTTCATAAATTTTACTTATCTGGTCATTTATCTTCTTAAACGAAAATATGTGGGGGTGGGTCTTCTTCAGTGTTTATTAATTTGTTCATTTTATATGAACCATATGATCCTTACTAGTAGCATAATCTTTGGTGATATGTTCTAAGACTGCCAGCATCGGAGCCAATTAAGATTTCATTCTAATAAAAAATGATCATTTCCTATGTTAATTTGTGATTAGTATCTCATTAAATTTGAATAAAAACTATTATATGAGTCATCACATATAGGAGCTCTCCTTATGGTTCTCAACCACTTGTAGAAAATCAAAGTCATAATCAGCACATGAAACTAATATTGAGTTTATTAACCTTATGGATTAAAATATAAATTTATGATGTAAATATCAAGGTATTATGTATATCTATCTCTGTATATGTAAACCTATATATTTAATGAAGTGAGATAGTTTTTATTGAAGGAAGCTTATCTAAAAAGATGTGAGGGGAGATAAAGAGAGAACACAGATTTCTCCAGAGAGAAAAAGCAAGCAAAGAGCAAGACGCAAATTCAAGGGAGAACACAGGCTTGAAGAGCAAGCTAGGTTTTATATATTTATTTAAAGCAAAACCCAAGGACAAAGCTTTCAGGCTCTACTTGTTATTCTTCAAACTCCAGAGAATCATGTTACCTAACTTTGATTTACTGAAAGTAAACAGGTCAAGTTTAGTTGAACTAGGTTTTGATTATAATTTTTGAATCTCCTACCCAAAAAGAGACTATCAATTCACATTCTCCACTGTGAAAACACAGTTATTTAATGTGACCCATTTTTCATATCCTTTCTCCCAAAGCATGTTGCTTAACAGCATTTTTTTCAACTGTAAGGAAACTCATATTCACATGAATTAAGAGAAATACTTGCCTAAAGAATTGCTCCCAACATAAATGCTATGTGAGCTTTTCCATGTTTTACTCCAGACGGCTCAGTAAAATAAGTAAATAGGGTGAAAACCATTGGGATAGACTGAAGGTACAACCAACTCCTTGCCACACTGAAAAAGCTAGTTTGGGAATCAAGATGACTGCCCAGGTCGAAATGAATACTTTTTTGGGTTCCTAAACACAGCCATTTCTTTACTCATCCTATTTATTATGCCTGATTTCGATGTTACATCTTTGATGCTCTAACACTGCTGTCACCCAACTCAACCACCTAAAGAAGGTTTACCCTGATCAGGAGATGTAGATATTATTTTACTGGAAGGGTGCACAGCCAACCATGCTCAGGGCTTACACTTTGTGTTCAATGATTCCTCCTGGCAGTGTCTAGGTGTCAGGGATCGAACCCAACCCAGGTCAGCTATATACAAGGCAAGTACCTTACCTACTATACTATTACTTTGGCTCAATGGTCTAGATTTTAAAGGTTCTCCCTGAAGAGTAGGGGAGTGTCTATCTCCAGTTTTAGTGAATTTTTTCCTTGAGATAATGGAAGTTTCTGGGATTCAGATCAGTCAATTAACACAGATTATAAAACAGAGTCAGTAGAGAGAAGGGCAGATGAAAGGGTAGGATCTTTCCATTTATTGTACTAAGCTGTTCTCCAGTGTCCCCAGTACCCATTACAATTCTATTTATTTAGTTAGTTTTTGGCATTTTGGGTCACACCTGGCAATGCACAGGGGTTACTCCTGGCTCTGCACTCAGGAATTACTCCTGGCAGTGCTCAGGGGACCATATGGGATGCTGGGAATCAAACCTGGGTCGGCTGTGTGCAAGGCAAACACCCTACCCGCTGTGCTATTGCTCTAGCCCCACAATTCTATTTCTTTTTATTCCCATTTTCTTACCCATTTCCAGATACTGCCCACAAGGACTTCTGCTCTGGCTTTTCTCAGCATCAGGGATATAAATTTGCTCCAGAGGGATATAAATAACTTTCCAGATGACTTTCAAATGATTGCCTTTAACTCTCACCCCTATGAATCTAATACCTAGCCTTTCCCCAATCTTTCTTCATTTTCTCTTCTTCTGAATTTTTGTTGGCTTTTCTTTAGAATCGGAGGATCTGCTGATACCATGATACAGAAGAAACACAAGGGTTGTTTTAGAAACCAAAGCTCTAGCCTACAAGAGTATTGAGTATATGGGATTCCAAAGCTGCTGAAGAAAGTCCTTCTGTTGAAGGGCCTTAGGAGTGAGGAAATGGTAAAGAATAATTCTTCCTTTTTCTGGCCTGTAGTAAATAGTTTCCAATAAAACGATATTGTTTTGCTTCAGATTTATATCAGCTTAAAGTTTAACTCAAGGGTCAGACATTCATAAGAAATAATACCCACTTATTCCTTTGTTTTCGGAGGATTTTTCCCTCTGATGTCCTACATTTTCTCTTATCTTCACAAACACTTGGTATTGGAGCAAGACAAAGTCGCTCAACTTGACAAAATGACTTAGCTAAAATGGTTGAGAATTCATTTCATGTTACTTAGAACCATCTGAAAAGTTGTACAGTCAATTTGTATTGATTTTAAGACACAAATATTGTACTGTTAATGTTTTTTCCCCTTAGAATAACTGCCTTTGTGGCAGTCTATTCATGACTTAGAGTGACTTATGCACCAAGTTAGTTTTCACCAAGGGTCAGAAAACAATGATTCTAGTACTAGCTATGCTATAAACACACAAAGTAGCCTTATTTGCCTTACACTTATCACCGAAATTCTCCCTGCATCTGTCCTGGTAGGGAAAATACCTGAGATCTCTTTCACTGCTAATGTTTTGTGATTCAATCTGTAAAGATGATCTCATTTGCCAAATGCAGTTTCTACAATTGTGACCAGAGAGCAAATCTGAGCTCACATTTAGAAACGGAATACAACCAACACAGCTAGAGGAGAAAGTTCTAAGCCAGCAGGCAGTTCCTTAAGTTTGTTCCCAGGATGGGAATCCTAACACACACCAAGTTGTACCCCAAAGGACAGGGCACTTTCCAGTCTCCACACAGTGACCACAGGAGCCCACAAGCAAAGATTGCTATTTATATGCCCCTGGGAGTTAAAGCAAAGGTATGGAAGATTATATATATATGTGTATATATATATATATATATATATATATATATATATATATATATTGCCTTTAGTGTTCTCTGTGGTCAGCTGTACGCATCCCTAGCACTTTCTGGCTGAATGCAACGAACAAGTGACTATATTTCTCCCTGACTTAGTTTTCTCTCCAATAAAATGGGGAAAACAACTTTATCCTCCAGGGATGTGGTGAAGATGAAAACCGAAACAAAATGCAGAGCACCTGCAGCAGAGTGCCCAGTCCAGAATAACAGTCAGGGCTAGCCCTGATGACTCCTACCACCTCCTGTTTCACCAGAAGAGATTAGCAACTCCAAACTATCCACTTGACATGGATTTGAATGCCTTCCCTCAATAGCTCCCAAAGGACATGCTCCCACCTGTTCCCACCTGTAAAGGGAAGTGGCCTGAGCACATAACCAGGTGGCAAGCCGCCTGAAACAAGATGCCTGATGCTAACAAAACACTTCATTCTGCGAGCCTACCTCTTTTGCAGGGAAAAAACAGAAGCCCAGGCTCAGTCCCACGACGCCCGACCTGTGAGGGTGTGGCCTTTGTGCTCTCCAGCCGCACCTGGTGGAGCCTGCGCACAGGGAATCCCCGGTTCTGCTCCTTGGGGCCCTGGAGCGACCCAGTGGCAAAGAGCTCGCTGCTCCAGGGGTGTCCCGGGATTGGAGTGGAAGACGTCGGGATTCCTTCCCGAGCTCTGGGTAGTCCACGTCACTTCTGGTGGGGTCTGGCCCAAGCGTGGGTCACAGGGGGAAAGAGGGGGACTGCCCCAAGCTCCGCTGGAATGCTCAAGCAGGAGGCTGCACAGGGCCAGCGCAGAGACCGCTGTGCCCCGAGAAACTGCACGTGGCAAGTCTGAACAGGGCGGAGGGCGGACGAGCGGGTTTTACGCAGCTCCAGCCCTTGGCAAAACCCCCAATTCTTCTCTTACTGGGCCAATAGGAACCCGGCGCCGGACTCCGAGCCAAAGGAGCCGCTACAAGAGGGGCGTGCACCTACTCCGAGAGGGAAGGGTTAAATGAGGTCTTCCCAGTCGTCGGCAGCCCAATCTGCCCCCACCCGCAACCAGTGGACCCTGGGCACCGCACCTCCTGCGCTCCGGCAGTCTAGGCCACCCTCCAGCAAACGGCCTTGCACTCCAGTTTGCGGGGATGCAAAGGAGGCGAGGACCTCGCCTTCCGGAATCCGCCAAACGCGCCAGGAGCAACCAGAAGGATTTACCTAAGACCCACCTCCGCCGGGGGGCCCTGGGTCTGGGCGCTGGGTGTTCCCTCTACACGCTCACGCCGCGCCCACACCCCTCCGTCCCGCGTTTCCCCGCACTCCCTCTAGCTCTGCGCTCGCGGGCCTCCCGGGCGCTGCACTGGGCTCGGCTCCCGCCCTTGCTCCGCCCAGGTGCGATTGGCAGAGGGGCGGGGGTGGGGGGAGGAGGCGGTGCCCACTGCAGCCTCCGCCCCTGCGCTTTCCTCCAACCGACTGAGACCTGGGTGCACCTGCCTGACGCTGGGGACTCCCCCCTCCCCGGCCACACGCCTTCCCTTAGGGGCCAGGAATCTCCGTCCCACCCTTCGACTGTGAAGACAGCCTTTACTCTCAAGATGCGGGCAGGGGAGGTGGTCGTGGGGCTGCCCATTTGATTGCGGAGGTAAAAGGGTTGTACAAAAGCGAGTGCCGGGTCAAGGAGAGGACCAGGATTCTCATGGAGCCAGGATAAAAGCATCCGGGCTTCGATCTGACCACCCCGTCACTGCCCAAGACGCCAACGCATTCAGGATCTAAAGGGGAGATTTCTTTTTCCAGGGGCGGGAGATCTCCCCCACCCCCATACACCCACAAACCTGCCTCCCCAACTCCCCGGCTCCAGGCAGTCGGGGAGGGGGGGGGGGGGCTCCACTCTGTCTCTCTGCGCCTCCTCAGGTGTCAGGCCCCTCCCGCCGCCCGTATTGACACTCTCGGGCCAGAGCCCTCTGGGCTCAAATCGCTTTCCCTCCTAATCGGTTGGTGGCGACTTGGGGCAAGCCCCGCAGCTTCCTCCGATCTCGCTTCAGCCTCATCTATCCCCACCCTCAGCTTCAGGCCGCACCCCCAACCAACAATCTTTGCCTGCCCAAACCATTTACTTCTCCCACGCAGAGCTACACCTTGCAGTTCCCACGGCGCGCAGCCCCCAGTCAACTCCAAGGGTGATTCATACCGACTTGGGGGGGGGGGTGCAGAGGCTAAGGTGTATGCATGTGTAATGACTCTGGGGCACAGCACATAGACCCAAGAAGTGGGGGCGGGGGCGGGGTGGGGGTGGGGGGTCCCGCAGCCGTCTCCGCCACGTCCCACCTCTCACTATCAACTCGGCAGCTACCCAACAGCTCAAGCTGTAGAAGCACGGCTGGGTGCGAAGCCTCGTCTCTCTAGCGGGAGCTGCAGGGAGAGAGTGAAAACTCGACTGGCAACAACACACCGAGAAATGGGCAGATGCCTATGGCTGGAGCGGGGAGGGGGGCGTGAGGAGGTTGAGGCGGGAGAGAGCTAGGGGACCACAGACGTGCAGCTTGGAGGGCACCAGGTGAGCATCGCGCGGGGGAGGGGGGTCACAAAAGTTTGCAGGCTCTTGTCCTTCTGCCAGCCGGCTTCACGCGAGCCAACAAGGTGGACTTCCCTCTTCCTAGGAAGGGGGGTCCCTTCTAAAAGGGAGCGTCAAATCTTGGGGTTCGGACGTGGCTTAGAACTGGGGTGCCAGCTGTCCATTCTGGGAGCGACTGCCTAGGTACCGGGGAGTTGAGAGGGACGGTATGAGGCTTTTTCGCAAAGCAACAGGCGGCTGCACCTTACCTTGCGCCAGTCCCGGGCTGGGGCGGCTGCTCCATCCTCACGGCCCCAGGAGCTGTTGGGTGCGTCTGCCCCGGGTCTGCGCGCCGATCCGGCTGCAGCGGCCGCTCTCCCCACCCGGCGGCTACTCCCGCGTCCCCCCGCGGACCGGGCGGGGCGGCCCGACTCCCGGGAGGCGCGGGCGGCGGCTGCGGCGTGGGTGCGCGGGCAGCGGAGCGCGGGACGCGTCCTCCAGTGACTCCCCCGGCCGGCGGTGCGGCCGTGCGGGGCCAGGCGGGGCTCCCCCGGGCCGCGGTGGCGGCCCCTCTCGGAAGCCCGAGACAAAGACGCTGGGGAAGGCGCAGCGGTGCTCGCCCGGGAGGCTGGAGGCTCAGACGCTCCGGGGGGGAATCGCCTCTGAAGCCGGGCTGCGGAGGGGGAGGCGCGGGGAGCGGGGACTCGGAACGCCGCGGGGCGTGAGCGTGACCGAGCCCGGCCCCGGCTCGCCGGCTGGCGGGTCCGGGATGGGGAGAGGGCGGGAGCCCAGCGCCGGGGCGGGCGGAGCAGAGCAGGGTTGCGGGTCCCGAGGCCTCCGCCACCCGCGCCCGCCAAGCCGTGGGGAGGACGGTCACCGCCCCACACTCGGTGTCCCTTTCCAACTACTGAGATCCCGGGAGAATTAGACCGGGCGGAGCAGCCGAAGGAGGACCTGGGGGTGGGGGGGGGGGGGGGGATTGGTCCTCTGATGGGGAGGAAGAAGCCGAGGCTGAACATCCTTCGGATCAGTGATGGCCCGCTGGGAGCCAATATAGTTCAAAGGCCTTTTGACGGAAGGATGAATTTCCGTGGGTTCTGCGCCCACGCCCCCCCAGACAAGATCTTATTCCGAATGATCCCTGGCAGTTCGCGAACATTTAAGTGGGATTGAGGAGTGGTCCCGATTCCCAGGAGGCAGGTTCCTGAAGCAGCTGTTGAAATTCCATTCTCTTGCGTTCCCTGCTTTTCCTGGGATGACTGGGTGTGCTGCTGAAATTGGAGGCCAATACACCCCTTAAAAATTGTCAGTACGTGTTGTAAGATAAACGCGAATGATTATTTTAGTGATGTTCTTAATTTATATTATCTTAATTATTTATCAGACCTGCACCCAAAACAACTACAGCCCCCCCACACACACCCACAATTAGCCACAGTCCCAGAAACCAGCTTTCCCAGTCGCCACAAATACACTTTCACCCTCCTTTGACCACTCCTCCCTTCACCCCTAACCTCAGCAGAATTAATCAAAATTCATCTATCTCTCACAGCATCCTCACAATTATATTTATCCATCACTGGAAAAAAATGCACATTTATACTTAAAGATTTAATAGCTATTGTTTACTCACCTGTATGGCCTCAGCCCCCTCTTTTCTTACTTTCTCTCTCTTTTTTTTTTTTTTGCTTCCACTACAAATCCAAACTTATTTTATGTTTACTGGGTACTCAAGGAAAGTTGAACTAGTTGAAGGTCGGTTTCTCCTTTAAACACAGCTAAACATTCTGCCCATCCCAAAATAAATTGTTTAAAAATAAACACTGTTAAATCCCAAAGTCTTTTAAATTAAAGGAAGTTGGGTCCTGAAAAACTGAGCAGTTTAGGGGAAGGAAGGACATTTACAGATAAGCTCACAGCCCCTTTAACTTAGAGGTGAAACGATTAATTCGGCTCTGTTTCTAGGCCATCTTCTCCCACTGATTACCTCCCCCTCATCCCCCACTATTTGCTGAGTTTCCCAAGAGAAACCAAGCTGTTGTAACAAGTGCTTAAAACAAGAAATATGTACTCAGTTGCAACATGTACAGTAAGGCCAGGCCAGGTGGAGAGTGACCAAAACACCTTTATCATCTTGTGCCCGTGTCAAGTATGTTGGATGGCTGCCAAAATTTTCACATTTCCAAAGAAGTTCTTGTTCTGGATGCATTTTAGAACAGTTTGAGATGTGTTTTATTGCTGAGCGTTCAGAAACCTGCCTTAGAGTTTAGGAGTAGTTCAGACCATTTTTTATGTTCTGTCTCTTTTACTGATAAATTCTGTGATTGATACTCCAGATCAGAAGTGGTCTGTTGTAAAGGTCAAAATATATGCAGATTAGAAAAAACATAACTCCTAAGGCATCCCCTTGATGGTAGATATTAATTTTGGTCCTGAGAGATTTACGCATGGAGTCAGACATTTCTACTTGGTAGTTCTGTGTCTTGATTTGTTCACTTTATAATTACTTTTGTGTTCTTTACCTCATATAGCTGATGGGTTTTAAGTGAAATGGTATTTGTGAAACATTTATTATAGTGAGTAACACACAGCATACATTCATTTGGGGGGGGGGTTGGGGGATTACTTTGGTAATCATCCAGTGATAAGTAAGCTTTAATACATTTTTGTTTTATATATGTATTTGGATTCATGTCTAGAGAATAATATACGTAAGCATTACCAGTGATTATCTTGTAAAAATGACAAGGTAACCAAAAGCTTTGGAATTTACTTTCTAGTTTAGACCTGTTTTGATTAAAGACATGATATCTCACTGTTGCCAAAGAAATTCTCCAGAATTTGTATGCTTTCTAGTTGGTTCACATAATCATCAACAAGACTTACTGACTATTGGTGTCATCCGGCTATAAAAGGGATAAATGACAGGGCACAGAGTTTGTCACCTCCAATATAAACATAGATCTGTTTTGTAGCAACCAGAAGTCAACTCCAGTGCAACTAAACATGCTATTTAATATGAATAGCAGACTGGTTACTGCTCTTGCCTTATCTTGACAGCCAATAAAAAAAGGAAGAGGAGAGAAGAGGCATCAGAAGCTATCTTTGTAACTTTTGATTAGTGAATTAGAAAAGGAAGCCTGGCCTAGAAGAGTTATAAGATTCAATGACCTTCACATCCAGTAGTG